GGGGGGGTTGTGTTTCCAAATACTATTGGCTTCTAAGGGAGCCAATACTGCCTTCATTCCTGCACAACCAGCACATAGATTCAGATGGATTTATTCCAAAGGAATGTCTTAATTGCCTTTACTTGTTGTGTGTCTCAACAAATAAGGTACCTTGTGAGCTGAGAGGTGGTATGTAAATACTTTAAATAAAATAAAAATAAATGTGATATACAGAAAAAACAGAGCCCACTTCCATTTTACTTATTAAGAATTAAACTTTGTTTGAAAATTGTGTTTTCAAAATAAAAGCAAGTTAGAGGAGCACAGGAAGCTGCTTTGGATCATTGTTCAATTTTTCTCAGTATAAGTTACATGCAAGATTCCTTCCCAATTCTCTTGGAGATGCCAAAGGTAGATCCCAGACTGTTGCTCCTCCTCTGTGCTATGGACATCCCATTGAAGTACCAATAGATCTATGCACTGAATGAAGCACAGATCCCTCGGACAATGAGGGATCGCCTAAGTAAGTAAGTGTTGTCAAAGGCCACACAGCCCGGAAAGCTCACAGCAACCCAGCAGCAACTTCCTCATGCTTCGTCCTCTGCCCTCCTCCAGTCCACTCACCCCACCACATTAGGCTCTGCCATGAAAGGCTACATAGCATTAAGTGACCCAACTCACAGGAACAAAAGCCCAGTTCTTCAGTGGGAGTATGTACTGTACTCTAAACTCTCTCTATTCAATTCTATGTGTTGTATTTTTCAAAACAGATGAGTTATGTAGCTTGAAAAAACATGAACCCCAAGTACAGCTATTGTAAATATCTGTCACTGACAGTTTTCCAAGTCATGTTTTTCTTTCTCTGAGTAGTTTCCATTTCCTGCCAGATGGGAATATAAGATCCATAGATAAATCTTTGAAATTGCATTAAATATTAATTAGCTTACAGCATCTTTGTTGTATATCTACCTGCACTGAATAAGAGGAAAGACATTAAAAGCTTAATAAAAAAGAACAAGACCATTTACTGAATGTTACATTTTAGAGCCAAAATGTTCCTGTCCTAAATGTCCAGAGGCAAATCCTAATGATCTCGATGGAAAAACAGCAGAGAATTCTCTTGTACCTGAAAGACTAGTACATTTATTATGGTGTGATCTTCCATGGATCATTTTACCAAATAATGTTCATAAAAGCTTTTGCTACAATGGGATATAATAGAGGCCACAGTAGCACAGTGGGTTAAACCGCTAGCTGGAGGAAATCTGCTGACTGGAAGGTTGATGGTTCAGTGCCACGAGTTGGGGCCAACTTCCAACTGTCAGCCCTAGCTTCTGCCTACCTAGCAGTTTGAAAGTATGCAATGCGAGAAGATCAAAAAAATCGAAAAAGCGCCCCATGCAGATATGCAGACATGCCAGCAACACAATCAGAGAGGTCTATGGCCAACAGGCTCCTCAGCATAGAAAAATGGAACAGGAGCACCTCCCCATGGCTGGAGTTGAGCATCGCCTCCAGACACTGGAGATAGAAAACGGAGAAGGCCTTCCTTTACTCTTGTCTGTGTTTTATGTCGTTGTTCACTGTGTGTAAAAGGCATTAAATGTCTGCCTCATATGTGTATTGTAATCCGCTCTGAGTCCTTCCATGGAGATAAAATATTATTATTATTTCAGATGCCGTAGAACTGTTGATTGTTTCCACCACAAATGACAATTGTAGTGTTGTGACTGTGAGCCTTCAAGTCATTTCCAACTTAGTGACCCTAATACCATGGGGTTTTTTGGGGGGCTACAATATGTTCCTATGGCTGAGAGTGTGTGACTTGACCAAGGTCACCCAGTGAATTTCTGTGGCTGAGCGGGGATTCAAATCCTGGTCTCCAATCACTGTTGAACACTTAAACCACTGCAGTATGACTGTTCTCTCTGGAAATAATTTCAACAGAATTTATTTCATGGTAGGAAAGCCTGGATAATCAAGCTGGCCATTCTAAGGCCTTTAAAAACTTCAAGATGCTCTGGTTGTTCTCTGAGCAGAAACCCGCCTTTTTCTTAAGCAGGCAACCATTTCTGGCATTGCTGGTCAGGGAACAAACAGCTGTATTGTGAAAGGCAGCGTGGAAGCTGTAAAAAATTCACATCTGTTTGCAAATGAAAAGAATGTCTTCCTCAAGTTCCCCAGGAAGACAGTCAAATATCACCATTATCAACTATGCTCCTTTTAAGGCATCTCAGGAAATAAGTTGAGCCAGAGGGGATCTGACACCTCTTTGGAGAAAACTGCATCTTTAACAAAGGATGACAACTGTTAATCCCTTTCAGTGCCCGCTCAACAAGAGACAAGAGGATGTTTGGGGAGTTAATTCTGTTGGCTTCTGCACATAGTTGCACATCACAGACAATCTCATTAACGAAGAGGGAGAGAAAAGAATCCCTATAATGGAAGTTATATAATTTTACTTCAACTTTTTTTTACAGGCATGGCATTTTCCCCAAATGCTATTGCAAAAGCAAGCCAGCCTGCACACTGGCTTTTAAATGAAACACTTGAGGTATCAGATGAATTAAATAATTATATTCCAACTCAAATTAGGTTTCTTGTTCCAATAACTAACAATAAAAACCTAAAAAAGAAAGCATTGGAATCAGAGGTAATTGCAATAGCTTTGAGCAAGCCATGAAAACATGCAACTTAAAACTTTCATAATCAGTTCTCTATGCATTGGTCATAGCATTGGGAAGGAGACACAAAATATATCAGTGTCACAAACGTATTGTCTGTGAGAATAATGGAGACATTTTTTGCCGCATCAGAAGATATGTGGGCGATATATATTTAAGCCACATTCTGGAGATATTTGAATGAATAAATTTAATCTGGCAAAATAAACCAATGAAAACTATGTTGATTATTGTGTGTCTTCCAAGTAATTTCAGAGTTATGGTGACCGTACTGTGGAGTTCATAAAGTCTTTTGCCTTCTCTGCCAGGGTACTGATGTCGAACTGCATTATTTCTACATTGTAGATGCACCCATAGTCCCAACATTCAAACCATGCTGGCTCTTGAAATCATTTAGATTACAATAATGTGGTCTTCAGGATTTTGAACTGTCCATCGTCAAAATTTTGTTAAGATTTGAACTGCCTTTTGTTGGGAGTCACTTTGGATCCCACTTTTTGAGAAAGGTAGCACACAGATGAAATGTAAAAGAAGATGTGCCCACGGGGAAATTTCCAACAGGATCTAAAACATCCTATCTCTTATTCATATCCATTTGCACCAGCACAGGATCTCATCCACAAGGTCTTGGTTTGGAGCCAGTATGTACAGATTCACCAAAAGCACTGCAACAATCTGAACTCATCTTACCTCTGCCACTCTCCATTCCACATGTGCCCTACAGAAGAATTGTATGGATACAGAACTTTCTTATTAAACTGTTGTGATTTCCCTTTTTTCCTTGAAAGATCTGCTTGCATTTCTATTAAGCAACAGCTTCTCTCAAGCTTGATACACTTTCCTAGAGCACGGATGGGGCTATTTTGCCATATCAGCAATAATCCCCATGGACTAAACCAGGACTAAACTACACAAGGCTCAGAGGCTGCAAATGCTGCTCTCTGGGCCTTACAGAGCTGCTCCTTTGTGCTTCACTACCAGAAATGGTTATTTTGAAATCAAACATCCCCTGCATCCTCTAGGCTGTAGTTTGGCGTTTCAGACTGTTTCAGACCCAGGAGAGATCTTTCTCTAAAACAGGAAGTAATTTTTCCCCCAAACTAGCTGGGAGTTAAAACATTCAGAGCAACATCCTGAGAAAAATGTGTCTCCATTCTGCCCAGAGGACACAAGACATTTTGAGATAATGGTAGTCCTGCCTCAACACTGGAGACTAGAACTCTCCTATGGGAAGTTGTGCCACTTGAAGTACTTTGAAGGGTACTGCACATGTAGACAACCAGTAACCAGTCTCCATGGCTACCTCTACACTGTAGGATTAATGAAGTTTAATACCACTATAACTGCACTGGCTCAATACCATGGAATCATGGGAATTGTAATTTGATAAAGAAGGTTAAACACCTTACATAATTGCAACTCCCAGGATTCCACAACACTGAATCATGGCAGTTAAGGTGGTGTCAAAGAGAATTAATAATACAGTGTAGATGCACCAAGTTACATAATTGAAGCCAGAGAGCACCAAACACACTCTTGACCACAGCTCCCACCCAAGAAGCCACTGCATGGCTTGGGGCACCAAAGCAGCCCTCTTGCACTATTACTCTCTTTCCTGGACCTCTTGCACAACAACACCAGAGGCAAGATCTGTCAGGAGGCTCGAGATAAGCATGTAATATATATTAAGGACCACAAACAAGCAGCACTGCAATCAGTGGAGTGTTGTGGGAAAGGGCACATTGCTCTTCACTTATCGGAACAGGAATGGCATGCTGCTGCCAGCATATATTAATAGGGCTTGGCAATTCATTTTGTTTCCCAATTTGATTTAGAAACACTTGCTTGGCACTCCTCAAGAAGCAGCATGTGTCCTCTCTGGCAACATTTCTTAAGGAAGGGACCAATATTCTGAAATGGCAAGATCCACAGTCTGAGTCCAAAGGTAGTGAGAGCCATGGCTTCAATGCAATATTGCACTGGAGGAATTTTCTTCTCCTTCCAACTCATCCGCACCTTTCCATATTGCCTGAAAACTCAGCCCTACAGAACTGGTTTTGGGGGTTCTCAGGAGGCAGTCCAGCAGTGGATGCAGTTTCAGATGGTAAAAGTGTGTATTCTAATAGAGATGAAAAACCAGAGAGAGAGAAAACTGTAAACTTCATTTCACTAAAAATCTCAGTACAGTCACTAACATAGATTAAATATTATTTGCCTCCTATTATAGCCACACAATTTAGAAGTCACAAATCACAGCATTTTTGTTGCTTTTTAAACACATAAGGAACAAAGAAGACCCCCCGTAAACACTGATGTGCAGCAGAAAGAACAGCCTACTAATATAAGTGACATTTATTAATATTCTGCTATATTTACATTTTTTAACATAATAAAATTCTAAATTACCACTTTGCAGAAATCATAAGGTTATGTTAATTTGTATTTAAATGCACCAGAAGTTAGAAATGAAAGTACAGGTACTTATGTTAAAGACAACCGTAAAAGTACTAGTCAACAAAAATGAAGATCTCCTTTTATATATATTTCAATTCGATGTCACTGACATACGCCGTGAAAGTCCCTATCCAAACTGTGTGCAGTACAAGCATAAGAAATACTGAATACATATTACCAGCAATTAACACTTGTATACCATCTTCCTAGCAATATTCTCTCAAAAATATCCACATTGTGCATGTATGCTTGACTTCCAAGTTGTTCTCATTTTATTTTAACAACAGATACATATGTGCAGAAACACAGTCAGAACAATTTCTATCGTTCCAAGAACACCCCTTCACAATGGCCAGCATCATTACATATCTTACACTAAGAAAACATATTCCAAGTTCATTTTTTAGGAAGGAGAACAAAAAGCAAGACTGACCCCTCCTGGCTAGAGGGCTATAGCTCATGCTATTCAAAGGACTACAAATACTATATAAGGCATTATTAGTAACATCACATACTTGATTGCAAGAGCCGTTTCAAACATTAGCCACTAATGATTCAATGATAACAGGAGTTTTGCATTAAACTATTAAAATTTTACATCTAGAAACAAATAGAAAGAAATGCTTCCTTTTATTATTTTTTCAACAGTACTTTATTTATTTTAAAGCAGGTGATTATTTTTCTTCTTGTTGTGTTCGGAGTCTTGATTCACATCCTGCAGATGTTCACTTACTAGTTGAGGAGTAATTAATGCAGGAAAACGCTGCCAGAAAACATCTGTCTGAAAGGAACATAAGTAAAAGCATTATTCAAACCTCAAAAAGTTCAGGATTATTAGAAAGCATTCAGAAATTGCATAGATGGCACAATTACTTGGTACTTTTTGTTTCTCTTGTTCCTCTTTACCCACCTGACTTCTATGACCATGTTTTATTCTCATTCCTCTGCTTCACACTTCATCCGGTGTACAGAAATTGTAGGGATAAGACACCGAAGCAGGGACTCAGTGAATAACTATTTCCCCTCTTTTCCCAAAAATTAAACAATGGGAAAGAGAAGGGTAACTGACAACACTAGACTTTCAACCACCATTCACTAGAGTGACATTAACAAAACAAATATTTTTTGCCTTGCTTTTCCTACTATGGCCATGTGTAGTAGTCATAGACAAGACTGTTACATTCTTGGCAGCAGAGTAGTCCCTCCAAGAAGCATGATAGACAGAACATTAATGGGAAAAATCCTGTTCTAATTTTAGCTTGTTGTGTACGTTTTATACTATTCATTTTTGTTTAGAATGGTTTTCAGAACTGTTGACATGGGGGGGGGGGGGGTAGAGAGATTGGAATCTTATTGGGATATTGGTACCTAAATTATAATCGCTTATAAGATAGTGGTCACGTCATCCATCTCAGCAGGTCTGCGAAAGCTAGAGCCTGTAAGTACAATTCAAAGAGAAACCCAGGGTGGTGCCGTGGTTTGAGAGCTGCACAAGGACACTGGAAAACCAAAGTTTGAATCCTTGCTCACCCATGCAAACTCACTGGGTGAGCCTGGACAAGTCACACGCTCTCAGCCTCTCAGGCAAGCTTCCTCGGAATAAATTCTTCCAAGTAAATTCCACAATAGGCTTGTTTTATTGTTGTTTATTCGTTCCATTGCTTCCGACTCTTCGTGACCTCATGGACCAGCCCATGCCAGAGCTCCCTGTCAGCCATCACTACCTCCAGCTCCTTCAGAGTCAAGCCAGTCACTTCAAGAATACCATCCATCCATCTTCCCTTCTTCCTTTTTTCTTCCATTTCCCCCAGCGTCATTGTCTTCTCTAAGCTTTCCTGTCTTCTCATTATGTGGCCAAAATACTTCATCTTTGCCTCTACTATCCTTCCCTCCAATGAGCAGTCGGGCTTTATTTCCTGAAGTATGGACTGGTTGCATCTTCTCGCGGTCCAAGGCACTCTCAAAATTTTCCTCCAACACCACAATTTAAAAGCATCTATCTATTCCTTTGCTCAGCCTTCCTTTTGGTCCAGCTCTCACATCCATAAGTTACTACGGGGAATACCTTTGCTTTAACTATGTGGATCTTTGTTGCCAGTGTGATGTCTCTACTCTTCACTATTTTTTCAAGGCTTGCCTTAGTGTTCCCATAAGTCGGAAATTACTTGAAGACACACAACGAGAAGCAAAAAAGGTTTTCTTTCAACCCTGAATATTCCAGATCTAACATTTTAAAATGGTTTCTAGACCTCTGTTATTAGTTTTGAATACAATAACACGTATTCTAGATTGAGAAATCAAGAAGTAAGCCATCTCATTTTTGTTTCTAAAATCTTGCCACTTCAAAGTTAATTTTAAAATCCAAAAAGACCATTCTTTTTTTTTTAACTTAGCCTTTGCACAATGACAGTACTTAATACAAATGCAATAATTTAACCAATTAATTTAGTAATCTATATGAAAACATGTTATGTGTTAACTGGCTATAAAAGACTGACTCTTGATACTTCCTAGTGGGACCCTTTGAAGACATTATTCATACTTCTCTCAGGACATTCCCTGAAATGCTTTGCTACACAAACACAGGGAATCAGCCTTCAGTATACTACTTGGTATTGATTCCTAGTTTTATGGACGTTTAGCACTGATTTCCTCCCCCCCCCCCCAAAGAAATGCTAGCAAAAGGTAAAGGTTTCCCCTGACATTAAGTCTAGTTGTGTCTGACTCTGTGGGGTGGTGCTTCATGTGGCCGGAATGACTTCATGGAGCGCTGTTACAAGAAATGCTAGCCACTATTTTATTTCTCTTACTTTAAAACATCTGCTTTGGTTTTCATCTTTCATCATTCAAAGTGTTTGTCTGCTTTCCGATACAAAGCAGTCACTAAATTCAGTGTGCATCTGAGGAGATCAAAATGAAGATTGTAGAAAGATTTTCAATCCTCTCTGCTCTGTTTCAGGTACCACTTGAATTAACACTGGACTTCTGTATCACCAAATTTGACCATACTAGATATTCATCATTTTTTCAACATATGTAATATCTTATTTTTATTGTCACAATACTAGCACCCAACAGTCTGGAATCTCAATACTTGGCTAACCTACTCAGTAAGAGAAAATACAGGAATAGTAATTTTATAAGGATTAAAGCAAATTTAGCGATGACACTAAAAGGCCAAAGAATTAACACAGGCTGTTAGCGTACTGAATACGAGTTCCTTTACAGGGTTGGAAAGATGTGATAAATTAAGTTCATCAGTTCCTTATAGTAGACTTTTCCCCATATGGTCTATAAAGTTATCTTACAGATGGCACAAATGATAAACTCACACAGCAAAGGACCACACTTTTACCTGCACTGAAGTAGAAGTATATCATTGGAAGAGAAAAAGGTGATTCACAGTCTCCCTCTCCTGGCCTAACCAACAACTAAATTGTAGACATTTTGACCAACAGAACAGTAGGCCTTCTTAAAGAGCCATGGGCTGAAGGCAAATAAGATTTTCAGAGGAATAAATCATATTCCATATTTTCATAGATTTAATTAATGCTATGAGATTACTGGTGAGTAGAAATAACATTAGATAAAACTCAAGAACAAAACTCGTGTAGAACCTAGTGCAAGACATGTGTTGAAGGATTCCGTTTATTCATGAGCATAAGTTGTATTGCTCTTTCAGCTATGTTGATATATTTGATATTACTAGTCTACAATGGGTTATTTTCTGCTTTTTTAGATGCAGTTCATCTGCTCTAGCATTCTTCCTGTAATAAATAACTGCACATAGGTAGATTCTAGTTCCTACAGTGGCAACTTATTCAAAACTTGTGGTGGAACATACCTTTGGCACAGGGTGTCTAAACCAGATTATAGAATCATAGAATCATAGAGTTGGAAGAGACCTCATGGGCCATCCAGTCCAACCTCCTGCCAAGAAGCAGGAATATTGCATTCAAAGCACCCCTGACAGATGGCCATCCAGCCTCTGTTTAAAAGCTTCCAAAGAAGGAGCCTCCACCACACTCCGGGGCAGAGAGTTCCACTGCTGAACAGCTCTCACAGTCAGGAAGTTCTTCCTAATGTTCAGATGGAATCTCCTTATCTTTTCTTAGTTCTGATCTTGTTAAAGAGCATAATAGTTTGCTCTGAGTTCAGTATTGAACTGAGTTCAGTTAAGTGTACAGAAATTGCTCAAATACAAATGCATGTGCCTGTCTTATTGCTTACACTGGGACTGCTGTTGCTGTTAACACGTCAAGTTGACTTCAATTTATGGCAACCCTGTAGTTGAAAGACCTCCAAGTCATTCTATCACTAACAGCCCTGCTTGGGTCAGACGACTCTATGCCGTGGCTTCCTTGATTAAGTCCACCCATTTCTAATGATGTCTTCCTCTTTTCCTACTGCCTTAAAGAGAGTCATGTGTTCTCATGATACGGCCAAAGTACAATCATCTTAGTTTAGTCATCTTGGATTATTAGTAGTAGTTTTAGACAGAGCAAAAAAAAAAACCTCCACAAAACATGAAGCAGCCTGCTAATCAACAGCACTAATAGTACAGAACTGAAAAAACTCTAGCAGCAGCAAAGTACACCAATTACTGTGAAGTTATGATCCAGGAGGACTAGTAAGAAAGCACAAATACTCTAACAGCAAAGCGTTTTCCTTTTAAATATTTTTTCTAGTTCATATGTTATAATATGGGGGGGGGGGGTGCCAATTGCATTTCTTACACAACTCATGTCATGAGGATGTTTTTGAAAAAATGTTCCTAAAGGAATCTTCATTCTGTGTGTGGTCAAGTTATGTGCCTCATTAATTGCTGGAAAGAGAGGCAATTTTTAAAAAATGTTTTGTGTGGTTTCCGGTCTGCTAAAAGGAAAAGGAAAACGGTGGTTCAATTTTAATGGACACATGTTTAATGAAATCCAATTTTTCATTTTTCCATTACTGTCCTAAATATGTCCAGGTTTCTTCTGGGTAACACTTCTGTGGAATGCCTCTAATGCAATCTTCCTCAAATATTTGGGTATCCTAACAAGTAGCGAACTAGCTTGATAGATAAGCACACAGAGGTTTTCATGTGGAATCGTATGGATTCCATTTTGTTGTATACAAAGAATTAAGGCAAAAAATAATTAAAATGAACCATATTTCACATTATTTACTTAGTTATGAATGTGTAACTAGGTAGTGTCTCCTGACTCAATTCCCACTCCACAGTCACTTTGCCAGGAAGCAGCTTCAGTGGAGATAGAGACTTGTTCAGCCGGCAACTGGGGCACAAGAGAATGGCGTTCCCTTTCCTCTTTCTGCCTGTAAAAGACTGTGACAAAGGATTTTGATGGAACCTTGCTTTTGATTGTTGAACTCTCTCATTACCAGGAGGAAGTGGAAATGTCATCCTCCTGCACCCTGATCACCAGCTAAATAGACCCCCAACTATCTGCAGCTATTGCCTGGTAAGATTTGGGAGGACATTTACAATTGATGTAACAGAAAGTGTTACTATTTCAGACCACTGGTTGTTGCTCATTGCTTTTATATTGTGTTATATATCTAGTTGTTTTATATTGTTTTATGATGTTGTTATTGAATTTTAATGTGCTATTTTAATTATGTTGTTGGGCTTGTCCCCATGTAAGATGCCTCGAGTCACTTTGGGGAGATGGAGGCAGGGTACAAAAATAAAGTTGTTGTTGTTGTCATGCTGGATTATATTTGCAATTCAAGCAGCTCCCCCTTCCCTACTTTGCCAGGAAGCAGATTGAATTGCAGTCTATTTCTCCCTTATAAAGGTTTCACTTCTTTCTGACCACCGTCACCTGGCAAAAAAGCCCCTCCTTGGATGTAACTTATTCTCCCCACTTCCCCCTCCCCCTCCTCTCTTCAATGATGCTGAAATTGCAGTGATCCACTTGATGAAAGTGAATTCAACTGGAATCCTCATCAATGCATCTCATCACCAGTTGAGTTTGCCCTTTTCTGATCTAGCAGTTATGAGTAGTTGCTACCCAAGACTGAGGTGGAAAAGAGGAATTTTCTTTCTTTTCTACCTTTAGGAAATGAAAACAGCACAGAAGGGAATGAAAAGTATATATATTAGAGTGAATACAGAGCTGGCAGAAGTGGCAGTGAGAAGAGTGACTACAAGTTAACTAAACTGATCCTTGCTGAAACTTACAATGCTTTTAAAGTAAGTATTTGGGGAGGAATGTAGTTAAATAGAGTTGAATGAAATAATATGTATGAAATGAAATTGGCATATGTTTAAATATTTTAAAGTATTTCTAACATTATTTAGCTAATTAAAATTAAACAAAAATGGAAACCACTACCCTGATCAACCAAAGCTGTCTAATCCTTTCTGAAAGTCTAACAAATGTTATTGCGGCATAAGGTTTCATAAGCCAGAGCCCAGTATGTCTCACATCCAACCCTGTGGTGCTGTCTCATCAAAGGCTCTAAGAGGCCACTTATAGTAATTTTAAATAAATGAATTGGGGCCATGAGTGGCTTTAAGTGTTCTAGAAATATTTCTAGAGTCTTTTCGTAAGTCCTTATCTAGATTGCAATGAAGCAGAAAACAAAGCAAAAGTGCCTTTCAGATTAATTTTATAATTTTGACATAAAATAGGTGTGCAATTAAAAAAAAGCTGGGGGTAGTGTTCAGAAAAACTTTAAAATGTTTTTTTAAAAAAATACCACAGGAAGTCTATGTACAACTACAGTCATGGTGCAACAGCAAATAAGACTACTTACCAGCAGGATACAAATCTTCATATGATTTCTTTAAAAATATTTGTGTTGTTTTGTGTGTGTCTATATTGTTTCTAACTTACGATAATAGAATATTCCTGTCAAGTTTCGTATCATGGTTTCCAGAGTCAAATGCTCAAACCACTATACCATGCACGTTCTGTTAAGAAAACCATGCTTCTGCTAAATCTTAACACAAAATTCAAACACTGGCATTGAATGCTTTCTTGCGTTTTAATTTTATAAAAACTTTGGGCAAGAAATTGTATCTAATAGTGCAGTCTTGCACATGTCTCCTTAGAAACAAAAGCTACAGAATGAAATGGAATTTACTTCCAAAATAAGTACACACATGATTGCAGTCGCAAGCACCTATTCAGGAAAGGATGAGCAGCATCAGCCCTCTAAATGTTACCAGGCTGCTACTACCATCAGCCCAGACCGACATAGCCAACAGTAAGAAATGCTAGCAAATACAAGTCCAACACCATCTGAAAGTCTACAGCTGCCCATTCTTATTTTCAACAAAGCAGCTTCCACCAATATCACTAGGATTTAATTTAATAAAATGTGTGTAGGGTAATAGCAACATAGAACCCTCACAAATAAAATGAAATAAATCAATAACTTACAGTATATTCTGGCGTATAAGACTACTTTTTAACCCAAGAAAATCTTCTCAAAACTCAGGGGTCATCTTATACGCGGGTGTAGTCTTATGCATGGGAGTCGTCTTAACTCTATATTTTAACTGGAAAAATTGGGGGTCGTCTTATACGCCCAGTCGTCTTATATGCCGGAATATTCTATTTAATCCATGGAAGGAAGCTTGGAATACAGAATAGTACTGAATTTTCACCAGACAAAGAAACACACAATAGAAATCAAATCAAGTCTACCAAAGTATTACCTTTAGTAAATAAACAGAACTCTAGTCCTGGGAAGAGTAGAAAATGTGTCCGGCATCTTTCGAACTTTTGCATAATTGATAAATCCCCTGAGAAACAGGAGGAAGCCTGTAGAAAAAGAACTCAGTTATGTTATACACATATATTGTGCTCCTGAGAGATATAACTATTCTATTACCAGGTTTTAATTGGATGCACTTTTCTTTGTTTCCTCGATATGATGCTTCTGCCATAAGGTCAAACTATGGGAAGGCCAAATTAGTTTTCAGGTTCAAGCAAAATGGGAGGCTGTGGCTATCCTCAAGGTCAATGTCAGAGAAGTGGCACATGCCCATAAACACAATTTGGCCATGCAGTTTGGGGCCATAGCTGAAAAATCCCAGGGTTTATCCCCCCTAAGGGCTTGACATCTAAGAAGCAGAATCCAGTTGTTAACTTATCTTAACTATCTTAACTATGGTTATGATCTCCACTCCAGAAAGGTGAAGCACTTTTTTGCACCACATGGTCAGAAAAAGAATAGTATCAGTGCTACATATCATTAAGAAAGCAACTCATCAAAACTGTAGTACAGTGCATATTTAACATTGATATTTTTTTTTGCTCCAATATGCAGCACTTGCTCCAATATGCACTTTATCTCTGCAAGCTTCACATTCTATTTTATCGCTCATTTCCACAGTTAGAAAAATATCTTTCTGCTGATAATGTTTTCTGCATAATATTACATCTGTACAAGATAAATACTGGTCTCACTCGGATTCTTATAAATCTGAACTGCTAGTTCAATCCTGCTTCCTCTTCTTTAACCAAGTACTGATTCATAACAATAGCCATCCACTGTTGCAATCTCTGCTACATTTACTCAGGGACCTGTGGTGAGGGTTCGTTTAAGGTTTTTATCTACCATCTATGTTTTTTATACACTTGTGAATACCAGATGGGACGCTAATTTGATCAGGGTTCAGGACTGTAGCTGTCTTTCCTCCCATCTCAAGCTGCAAATGAAATACTGCTTTGGAAAAGGACAGGGACTTGAATCACAGAGGCAGTATTTTTTAAAAATAGTTAAGCGACGACTTTCCAGCATGGCTTTCCACACTATGTCCACTAGATGGCCAGATTCTTACAAAGAACAAAATGTCTACAAGCATGGAGAATATGCTTAAAATCCCCCTATAAGTAACCACCCTAACAACATAAAAAGCTTGCAGAATTTTTTTTTTCTAAAACAACATTAGAATACATCCCCTTACTTTATTTTTTTAAATAAAAGATGTATATGTTTTGGGGGGGAATAATGAATAAACAGCAATGTTTTAAACATCTTTAAGGAAAAACTTGAACATAATGTTTACTTATTGTTTATATATTGCTTACCTAATACAAGAAACACCCACCACAACCAGTACTGGCCATCAAAATATCCAGGGAAATAAGTGGAGAACTGAAAAACAAACCAAATAGAAACACACAAGAGAAAGAAGAAATTAAATAACATCAGTATGTAGTTAAATATTTTACACACTGACATTTTATTATTGGCGAATTGCTAGACTTAATGTTGGATATGTTCCTCATATTACTTGTTTCAGTAATAATTCAGGGTTTAAATTATTATTGACACTATGCTGCTATGATTTCCAAACCACTAAAATGAGACAGTGCAGGCGACTCAAGGATAATTAACTACTTCCCATCTCCCGGGGCAGAAACAGTTGGTTTAAAAAGCAGCATCCCTTTGACAGTGATCCATGAGATACCAGACATAAACTCCCATTCCTAGATTAATTCAAGTTGTGTGCAATGTTTCAAATAGAAGGTATTCAACCTGCAACAAGGTCTGATGCTGGCTTGATTCATCCTGTTGTAGTCCTCAGTAATGATACCAGGATTAGAATGCATTCCCATGAACAAGGACCCATCTACAGTTCAAAGCTAGCTTCAAACTGTGGAGGCTACATGAGAAATTCCCACAATGGTGCATGAGAAAGCCCTTAATTAGCAGTAATATCCTGTGGTTTGCACAATCATCATCTGGGCCCAACTGGTGCCAGGATTTCCTCGGTAATCTTCTGCACAGTGAAACCACTTTCTTCAATACCAGTTGGAAACTGTATTAAATGATCAGTGTAGATGTGCCCCAAGTCATCATGTTATACATTTTGGTTAAATAAAATAGGTCATCTCTCTGAAGGCAAGAGTTGTATAATGAAAAATATCATTAAAATACACTGTAGCTCAGTAGTAGGGTCCAAGATTTGCACACCAGATAATCCAAGGATCTCTCTAGTTTAAAGAACTTATTGGTAGCAGGCATCTTGAAAAGCCACTCCTATTTAGAGTGATCAATACTGCACTAGAGCATCTTCATTTTTTATACACACACACACACACACACATATGTGTGTGTGTGTGTGTGTGTGTATGTGTATGTGTGTGTATATATATATATATATATATGTGTGTGTGTGTGTGTGTATATATATGTATATATATATGTATATATATATGTATATATATATATAGGAATTACTACAAGTTATTTTTCATAGACAAAAAGGACAGAATATATCCAGAATATATCCAGTAACTTTAGGCTGAAGTCATAGAATCCTTGAGTTGAAAGAGACCACAAGGGTCACCCAGTCCAACCCCTGGCCATTTAGAATTTTTTTAATGTCTTTTTTTATTGTAATGGTATCCATCTAATCCATCGAAATAAACTTACTTTATATACTTCCATAAACCATTACATTTTTGCCCCCTTTTTCCCTCCCCCCTCCCTTCAACTTTACAACAAAGCATTTTTAAGTGCAGCCAGTCAAGGATTCTGTCAATTTTTTCCTTTATCTGATCATTAGCTTTCCCTTCTTCAACCCATTTCACATATCTTAACAAGTTCTCTTTGATTCTTTGTATTTTTATAGACCATGGTATATCATGTTGTATTATTCCCATAATATCAGATTGTACTTGTTCATAAGTGTATTCGTTCCATCTATCCATTGTCCATTTTTTCTTATCCTTCCATCCCAATGCTATTACAGCATGGGCAGTTTTAACCATTGCCATCAAAGTTTGTTGGTCTTCTTTCTTCAGTGTTTGTAGGCCCAACATTCCAATTTCCAACAGTCCTGGCCCAATATACAAATATACCTTGAATAACCCATTTATTTGTTCTAATACCCTCTTCCAGAATCTCTGCACTTCCTCACATTCCCACCACATATGTGTAAACCACCCCTTCGTTTGAGCATTTTATTTTATCATATATGCTAGCTGAGCTATACCACTTTAAATAAATCCTTTTTACATATTCTTGAAACTTTTCCATTTTAATGGTACTTATCCCCTTCATTATCTTTTCCACTCTTTCCTCTGAAAGTATGCTTTCCTTACTCCATTTTTGTATTATCGTTCTAAGCATTGTTTCTTTTGCTTCCACTATCATTTTATATATTACTCCTGCTCCCCCCTTTTTACCTTCTTCCCTTTGTCTGATCAGGGAATCCAACTTACTGTATATACTCGAATATAAGCCTAGTTTTTCAGTCCTTTTTTTAGGCTGAAAAAGTCTCCCCAGGCTTACACGCAAGTCAATATTATTATTTTACTTTGTTGTTGTTATTATTATTATTACATTTATTATATTATTGTTATTATTACATTCATTATTTTACTCGATTTATTATTGTTATTATTACATTTATTATTTTACTCTATTATTATTATTTTACTCTATTTATTATTATTGGAGGACATGTAAGCATATTTACATTGAAGAAGGTTAGAATAATGGTTTAAACAAAGTTGGACAGTCTTATCTTGAATTAAAATTTTATGTAAATATTCAAAAACATTTAACCTACTGATGCCTACATTAATATAATTTTATTGTTATCTAGTTTTATTTTGAAATTTACCAGTAGCTGCTGCATTTCCCACCCGCGGCTTATACTCGAGTCAATACATTTTCCCAGTTTTTTGTGGTAAAATTAGGTGCCTCGGCTTATATTCGGGTCGGCTTATACTTGAGTATATACAGTATTTTCCTCTCTTTTTACTCCATTCTTAACCATTTCCCATAGTCTCCTCAATTTCAACCAATTTTCTCTTCCACCTTTTCCCACCAACTCCATAAAATCAATCAAGTCTCCTCCGTTATTATATAAATCCTTCACTCTTACAAATCCTGCTCTATTCAACTTCTTCAGCCAGCACTCCTCTTCATCCTCAAACAAGCTATATAATGGAGACCATTTAGATAATGTGGGGATCCACTGCTTTTGCCATTTTCCCCATATTATAAAAGCTAATCTTCTAGGACCCTCCATTCCTTTTATAGTCCGTTTTATATTCTTACTAAAAATACCAGCTTTTTCTTTACACCCATTTCTTTCAATTTCTATTCTAATCAATTTCTGATTTCCCTTATCTATTTCTATTAAATACTTCAACTGAAAAGCTTCATAATATGCTAGTAGGTTTGGGACTCTCCAGCCCAGTTGATCCCTTCTTGCATAGACTATTTTCTGAGCCACTCTTGCTTTCTTTCCTCCAAATACCCATTCTCGTAACTCCTTATCCCACTGAGCTATTTGACCTGGCCTCAGGGTCACCGGCAGAGTTTGAAACAAATACAACATTTTTTGTACCACACACATTTTTAGCGCTCTGATTCTCCTCGGGATTGATAGGTTTTTCCCTTTCCAGCCTCTTAGTTGTCTCCATCCCTAGCCGTTTAGAAACACACAATCAAAGCACTCCTGACAGGTGGCCATCCAACCCTTGCTGGATCAATAAACATCTGATCAACTGAGCACTTTAGGCTCTTTCCAGGTAGGTAGGTAATGGACTGTGACACATCACAGCATTCGCAGAAAGATAAATTTCAATATATCTCACCTGCCTTTACAGCTTCACAGATGTAACCGTTAGGTTATTTCAATCAAATTTGTTCAATCACATATAAGAGGGTAGAAGATATGTGACCCTCCAGATAATGTTATACTGGACTTCCCATCATTTCCCAGCTAAGAAGCTGACTTTAAAAAGCTGCTTTCTTTGAAGTCTAATAAAACTAACAGCATGCTGCCTGCAGTTATTCTGAAATTACATCTACTCAGTCTGTTTGGGCACAAAGTAATGGTATAGGCTAAGCATCTCTAAGCAAACAAAAATCAAACCATATTTGGAAGGTCTGATATAAAATCTAAGTATTACTACTACCAGGATTGTAGTTTAACAGTCATGGAGTCAGAAGCAAATTTGTGTGGATTACAAGTCACTCAAAAACTATCAATTTTGATTCTAGCATATAATAACAACATCTAGTAAAGATATTATTTTACTTCTGTATTACCATTTTATATTGCTATTGGCTTAGCAAGGATTCAGACCCAGGTCTTCTAAAGTCCTAGGGGAATCATTACACCATGCTAACTCTGAGATGTAAAGTACCAATCCCTAAGAACAGTTTGTATAAATGTACACCCAGAATGAAGAAATCAGAATCAATACTATTTCAGAAATCAATCTGGAGAGATCCTGGATTTTAGGCTACAATATCAAAATGCTTTTAACATATCTGTCCAAATTTTATCTTGAATACAATCACTAGATATTTATTTATTTATTTATTAAAAAGAGCTGCCTCTTCAATTTGTAAAATCAATGATTTTCCAATCTGCATCTTACCCTGACAATCAGAATCCACTTAATGAGAGAGAGGCCAAATCCAGAAATGGCCCCATATCTTCCTGCTGCTGAAGTAGTCAAGCAGAAAGAGAGGAAGAATCCAATCCAGTTGAAAAGGAATGCCACTAGAAAAGCAAAATGAGAGAAAGATGTCTACTGGCTTATATTGTATCACATCAATCAAATATTTGTTTCTAATCTGGATTATTTAATGCAAATGAAGTGAATATTTTAAAAGAAACAAGTACACTGCTTGCTGCTACATGACAGTGCACAGATTAACAAAGATAGCTACCAAAACACTCTGGGGGGAAAGGAGGTAAGAAAGATCACCCTTTGCAGAAATGTGTGTGTGGACTCAAGCTACTGGTACTAGAGATTTTGGGCTCATCTAGACTGTAGAATTAATGCATCTTGACACCACTTCAACTGCCATGGTTCAATGCAATCGAATTATGGGAGTTGTAGTTTGGTGAGGAACAAGCACTCTCTGGAAGAAAGGCTAAAGCCCTTGTAAAATTACAACTCCCTTCATGCTATGTATGTGGTTTCCAGAATCATCTGATTAGCCAACCTGAGGGTGCATCTACACCATAGAATTAATGTTTGACACTACTTTAACTGCCATGGCTCAATGCTATGGAATAACTGAAGTTGTAATTTTATAAAGAATCCTGGTGACTCACAAAACTATAATTCCCAGGATTTCATAGCATTGGACCACAGCAGTTAAAATCATATAAAACTGCATTAATTCCACAGTGTAAATGCACCCCGAGAAACACGATGCTGGACCAGGGGGATCTTCCATTTTTCTTAAAAAGTTCCATTCTCTTTCAAAATAAAAAGCAAATGTAATACACATTTCCCACTTCTTATATGCCTTGCTTCCCTGGACTTCCTTTCTTCTAGATATGAAAAGCAAGGGATAGCCACAGCACATCCCAAACCATTTGAGTTAATTGACTCAGGATGAAAGCCTGGAAACCTCAAGTTCATGGTGCATCACACTCCACGTGAACAGGGTTGAATAAGTGTCATACAATCAGTCTGAATAATCAATATTCAGATGAGGAATCTACTATAGGAATGGACTATTCCAAAACATCAGGTCAATCTGCTAACAGTTCTGGCATCTTCAAAAATGCCCATCTTTTGAAAGGTACTCACTGAAGAAGGTTAGCATGAAAATGCCATCATTTCCTATCCTCAGCTGGTCAGTATCATCAAAATCATCCCGTGCCACAAAGTCTTCTTCCTAAAAGAGAAACATGTCAAGATGGCTAACAAATCTGTGACAGAAGCAAAACTAGATCATACTATCAGGATAAGGTTTACATTATTTAACCACGGTTTAAGGACAAGACTTTCCCCATCCTTTTCAGTGAATGTCACAAAAGAGTAAGAACTACATATTTTGTATCTGAATTCTTTATGCATTAAGGAGTAGACATTAACCAAATAATGTATCAAATCTTTTCATCCATTTATGAATCAATGAAGGCAAAAAGTAACTAAAGAAAAAAAAAAGAAAAGAACTATAAATGATCTTCAATCTAAGGCAGTTGTGATACACATTGGCATACATGATACACATTGGGAACAGGAGAGAGAAAACCTCAACGCATTTAAAAGCAATATTTTTTCAAAACAGTGCACATTGAGCAGATGAATTACCATATTTTATCAATACAATACCTTGGCAAGTTACTTAGGATATATATGAATGAAAGAGACTGGTCACAGTACTACAGTGAACAAAAGGTATCTCAAAATGCACAAAGACCAATTTTTATAAAGTGTTTTGATTTACTTGGGGAATATTAATGAATACAGTGTGAAAATGCACTTACCCTTCCAGGAACTAAGGGAATAGTGGCTTCTGCCTTAGTTCTCTCAGCCTCATCATATGAGGGCAGTGTTGTGGCTACATTATAAGAAGGGGGATTTGGAAACCCAGCCTCATCTTTGTAGTCAAAATACACTAGAAGATGAAGAAAAGGGAAAGATATATGGGTTAATTTTCAAAGCAAAGAACTTTTTTTCTTTTTACTGAAAAGTACAACTGAAGTTGCTGGCAAACTGAACTACATAAAGGCATGAAAAATAGGTATTTTTAAAGTCTGAATCAAGAAAAATAGCGACAGTAGCAAAATAATTAAGACCATAGTTTTGTAACACTTTCTGAGGACTCAGATTCACCACATACAATGGGACTTATGAGTAAACATATGTAAACATGAATATATATAGGATTCCATTGTTAACAGATGAGTACACTCTCATCACGGTGCCCATGTCAGTTAGAAGCTGACGAGAGTGTGCATTAAATACGTTATAGGCAACAGCCAACCAATAGTGACAATAAGACTTGGTTTTTTGATGTTCCATGAACTGAACATACACATAAACTGCAAGGCCTTTGAAGGCCAAAAGTTCAGCACACAACTGTAATCAGAAGGATTTTCAATGTGTGTAAACAAAACAGATTTGTGCATTCAAGTAACAAAGAATCATGTGGCACTTCAAAGATAAACAGATGATTTATTATGACATAGGTTTTGTGTACTCAAGTTTATTATTAGACACATAAAGGTATTTTCAGTTACGAAGTATAATATATATCCAAATGTAACCAAAAAAGGATTAACAGTAGGGCAGTGTAGAAGAGAAGACAAAGATACATTCTGTGGCAATTATGTTAAAGTGTGAATGTAAGCAAAATATAGAGTAACACTTCATAAACGTAGTAAACATCCTCCCCTATATTCTCGTCTATCAAAATAAAAGAAAGAAATTTTCATTTTCCAGAATTGCTTTAGAAAGGCAGAACTCAGCAAGGGAAGATAGATAGGGCTTACTGAGTACACAGATGATGACTCAAAGAACTAGTTATAAATTAGCAATTTGAGCTTATTCTTTGTGGTTTCTGTGACTCACATAAATGGAAAATGAACAAACTACTAGTTACAGGGGAAGGGAGCATAATGCCACGTAGGAAAAAAGCACTGCCTTCCAGAAACCAGCCTCTACCCAGGACCTCATGTCTAGTCCATGGGGTTTGAAAGCTGGGAACAGGTGCCAGCTCTGTTGAAATCCTGAGTGGCAACAGCTCCCAGGAAGCCTGCAGGCATACTATGGCTCAGGTGGAATTGCTGCGGCATAGATAGGAGAGATACTATCAAGAGAGACCCTTTCCGGAGAAAAGAAAAGTACGGCTTTATTTCCAGCTGGGACTCTGGAGTGGAGCTATGTCCAAAAGCATCCAGAGCCACGATATAGGTGTTGACTATGGCTTTTATACCCTCCAATTGCAGGCAAACAAAGAAAATGCTTCTACATATATTGACATAATTATCTGCGTCACTTTAGTATCATAGGAATATCAAATTCTATCTTCCAACATACAAAAGGCATGTCTCTGTATTTTTTCTAGCAGCAGCATACATCTTACACCTTACATTCATCAATCAAGGGGCCTGCTTTGACCTGTCATGAGGGAGATATAGGCTCCTCACTTAGCCATAGCCTGGGCTCAGTACCAGTATCTGTTGCTACTAGGATGGGCTTATCTCTCTCCTGGAATGTTCAGCTCCCCTCTTGCTGTGCCTGGACAGCAGCTTGGATTTCTGATACAGAGAGAGCCTGATTTTTCTATACATTTCAGTGCTTGTAAAGTACATACAATTTATACATAAATCAATATCTATTTTTTCCAATATCTCCCCATCAGAATGACTTTGCACTTGGACAGGATGTTGCACGTGCACAGGCCAAACAAACAGTAGCTGCAACACATTTCAAGAATTCCTGGTAAAATAGCTAAGGAAGAGTCTCCGTGACTTGCAAAATGAAACCTTGCCATCTACATAGAAAGCATTTCCAAAATCTTGGCAAGTCCTCATATCTTCTGTACCCTCTGGAGGAAAGGTTTCCCAAAGGTTATGAGAATATGTGGTCAGTTTAAGCTTTGAGTTGGGTCTTTTCTAAGACCACAAAAATAATCATTTTTTCCCATTTAGCATAACAGTAACTTGATACTGACTACCTTCTTTGGCTTCATAAAATCAATACTGTAAAAACATTCTATCACTGAAAGGCTAACTGTCCTAATTGTTTATCAAATGTCTGATTCTCCTCCAAGTTGCCCTTTCTTACTCTTCTTTTTCCAAGTATGTTTCATGAGTTGTGCTAATATCTTAATATGGAAAACAGTTATATAAACAAGTACTTTGCACAACCTAATATACAATCCTAAATATGTTCACTGTGCTGTAAATTAGAGTGCTAACATTGAATGCATTTCAGTTAAATTTACTCATAATGAGCAAGCAAGTTCAAGAAAAAATGACTGGGATCTATGCAAAGGGATCTTGCATCACCTTTGGGAATAAGAGAAAGAAGCTGGTAGTATGTGATGAAGTAGATTTAGTTCATATACCTGAGGAAATAGTTACAAAAGCTTAACTTTCTCCTTTAGTCTCAAAAATGCATCTCTTTGCATACTGATCCACACTCACACAACTTGAATTCTATCATGACTGGAGTGATAGATATATTTATCATGAGTCAAAGTTAAAGACACTTATATTCTGTTGATTCCAACAAGAAAACAACATGTGCCTAAATCTATTTTTAAAAGTGTTGCTTTTGCATTTTCCTCTACACAGTTTTAATATGCATTGCTATTTCCTTCTTTAATTCTGTTTCTTCCATGGGGGGAATGAAGGTAGTAAAACCATTGTGTCAGTGCCAACAGCACAGCATGGCTTTGTATCCTTTTACTGCGGTGTAATAATGTGTAAGAAGAGATCCCCTGCAACTTTTTCTGCCTCTTAGTGTTAATTGCTTTTGCAAAATGCAAAGTTGACACAGCTATACTGCTATCAATTATGAATGTAATCATATAATGAATGTCACTTAGAAGCAGATTATGGTGTCTTCATTCAGACTTATTAATTCTATACTGCTTGCAAATATATTCCTATGTCTCAATTTGAAACCCAGATGGCTGTGGACTTTACATGATGATCATAGATTTTTGTTACAGTTGAGCTCAGCTAAAGCCTGCCTGCAAAATCCTTAGCAATACAGTGAAGGCTTGAAGATAATATATCCTGCTAGCAGGAAGGAATAATAGCCAGGATTTTCAAATGTTTCATAAGCCACAGCTCCATTATTAGGATATGTTAACAATAATCAGCACAGCAATAATCAGAAAGGTATTGGGCACAAAGCATAAGGGGTTGTGCAAGGAAATAAGGGCCTGGTCCTTGCTCTGTCACTGTGTGAGCTGCACTTTTCAACAGGAAGCAGCAGTAGCAGAAAACAAGCCCTCTCCCTATTTCCTGACACACACAAGCTGCTGATGGCAAGACTTCAACAGCCACAAATGCAAGATAAAATCAACTATAAACAGGATTTTTAACAGCCTTCCCATGTCTACAAAGAACATTCTGCAATATAAAATTAACACTGTTTGACAGAGATGGCTTTAGGGAATCTAATTTTTCCCCATGAAATTTAGGTTGTCTACAAATAACTCTGTCATCCTTCCAGTCATCAGCGAAGCATTTCTAACACCAGACAACACTGAGCAACATATGTTTTACCTGAGTTTTCTCCAGAAATGCTGCTGTAAGGTGGTGGAAAATCATTTGTAACTTCCAGATTCTCCTCATTCTGCAACTGAATAGAAATATTTCCGGTTTAACATAACAATGAAATCCATGCATAGCATCAAGATATAAATAGGCAAAATTTGAAATAAAGTAAAATAAAGTATTTATTGATGAGTTGGAAAGCAAATGCCATGATGTTTGATCAGTTAAATCATAAATACTCATGATTTGAGAAATATTCACAATGTTCACATTGGGCAATTATTATACAAGGTCTCCCACTTCAGCTTTGTAGATTATTCCAATGATTTACAAGACAGTATCTCTTGGATGTAAGCACCTATTGTGTCTTTCTAGTCCTTGAGTAAGTGGGAAGCCAACTATCACAAACAAAACAATACAGCATGTCAGTTATATTTTTTAGCCCCAGATGCTTTTCTACATAAAAAGTACGGTAATCTTTGTCTTAGTGCCTGAATTCATACATAATGAAAAAATATAAAAGTTGCACAAGCCTTGGGCTCATGCATTTCACCTCCCCTCTGTTCTTTTTTTGCATATGATAAATAGACCAGACATTTCTGCTCTTCTCTATTATGCTCAAACTTGGAAATTTTTGTTTATACCATATCAGATATCCCATACCAGGTGGGATATCTTCATTTGCAACCTAACCTATTGTAACAAGCCACAGTTCTGCAAGTGGGATTTGTCCGGGGTCACCCCATCAAACCGATTAAAGGATGGGAAAGATGAAACAAAACCACTGATATGAAAGAAAAATTGGGGTTTCATGGAGGCACCGGATGTCATATACTCAAAGAAAAGTTATCTGTGATAAGTTTTGCTGTGGGGAGTCTCCAAGGCACAAAAGCAGAAGTCTTGGAAGTCTCTTTTACAGATAGGATGTCTGCTATTATATGTGGTTGCCAGAATAGATGACTTGAAGACACATAAACATACATACACACTAGATGCAAAAAAGAGAACATTGGGATGTAGACAGAATTTCAGGCTGAATTGATGGGATCCCAGGAAAAGAAAAAGTAAAGTAAAACTACAAAAGAACCCCATAAAAATAAATGCAGCAGCACAATACATATGGATACATGGTTGTAGAACAATAATAAAGAGTCCATAAACTCTCCCAGAGAACTTAATCTTTCTCCCTACACATTCCAAGTGTCAATTTTACAAGGTGAAATACCTGAGCATGAAAACGTATTTACTAGCCTGTTTTTCCTCTCTCATTGTGAAACAGACCTTGAGAAAAGACAGAAACATTAATTCTCAACTGCCTATATTCCAATCTAAAACAAAATCATTTTTTTTTACCAAGGCCACCATAAAAAGCTGGACCATTAAATTCATGTTTAAACAGCTGAATGGAGATCACAAAGTTGTAGGCAAAATTGCTGAACATGGTCAGAATAAAACTGCATTTTAGGCTCTACACTGCAGATACCACTCCTCAAATCTTATCGTGTTGCTATAGAAACATGGGGCCATCTCCAAACTATCTGGTTGACATATGAAAAATACACTTACAATTATCAACAAATAAGTAGAATACAATTCATATTTCTGAGGCTGAATAGGTAGAATATATCAAATAATGATAAGTAAGTCACCCCTTTATTGGCTCTGGTTTTTCCAACCAAATGTTCTATTGAATAAGTTTTACATTGTGTTCTCTCTTCCCTTCGTCACATAATACTAAAACATAGACAGACATATATTCGTTCAGAAGCAAAGAGCACAAACACTCTTGAGTTTATGGAATACATTTACTGTCATATTTGTGGATGGGATGATACATGAGATGATATCAAAGAAAAAGTATCATATGCCACAAAGACATGCACTTATCAGAGAGTGTCAGGGGGTTACCTATATTTATTTTTGTTTATTTTTGAAATACAATCACTCCTCACTGCAAAGAAGTCTACACCAGCAAAATAATTTCTTTTTGGATTCATTTAGCACCACGCCTACTCCAAATAATCTTACCACCTACTTTGGATTCCCAATGGATACCTACCCCCATCCAATCCCCTTTCTTCTTTGATCCCAGTGAGTGATCATGAGTTAGGGAGAGAAGTTTAAATGTTTCCCAACACACACATATGTACACTGAACAGCAAATTAAAAAAATGTCTTTCTCACCAGGGCAATCACATTTTCCCTATTCAAGACCAGCTATGAGATCAAAGGTAAAGGGGTAAATCTGATGTCTGAGTGCTTCGTTCTTTCTGAAGTCTTTGATCAATTCACTATAAAATACTAATTTAATAAAATGTAGCCCACATTTCCAAATGAGCAGAGAATCTCAGATCCTAGAAAATGGGTGGGCAAAGTTCACAGTGGGAGGGGTCCCAAAGGACTTTTTCCTTTTATTACTTTATGTATACAGTTCTCCACTTCCCACATGAGTAACTGGCAGGTCAAGGGGGGGGGGGTCAGATGGGGGAACCTACCACACCCCTCTCCAGTCGCTCAGGCACTCTTGGATGGGAAGATAATAGGACAGGGAAAGAACGAGAGAGGATGTATTCACTCACTGGCTCAGTAACTTGCTCATACATACATTCATGGAATTTTTAAAAAGTCAGCACAAGGTAAATCCCCTTGGGATTCGTTCCATCATGATCTTTGACCAATTCCCTGAACAGGATGCTTTTATTTCAGAAGCCCTGCTAAACTTCAGCATTATCTACTGAACATTAAAAAAGTACTGTATTTTCTGGCATATAAGGAAAATATTCTCAAAAGTCAGGGGTCATCTTATACACCGGGTGTCGTCTTATAGGGCGGGTGCTGAGACTTCCGAGCCGGATTGGAGAATCTGTAGTCACCACATATGATGGGGGAACTCAAAAACGGCCGTGGCTGTTAAGTCACTTCTTTCCACTAATCCTGGTGTGTAGATTTTCTTCTGTACTTGTACAGCACCACCCTTGCTGCTTTCATAAGGTTCTACAACCATTTATCCACATGTATTGTGCTGCTGCATTTATTTTTATGGGTTTCTTTTGTAGTTTTACTTTACTTCTTCTTTTCGTGGGATCCCATCAATTCAGCCTGAAATTCTGTCTACATTGTAGAACAATGGCTCTGGTTTTCCAACCAAATGTTCTATTGAATAAGTGGGGAAAAAAACACCAACAGAGGATCACCAAACACACCAAAATGCTTGTTTACTCTTAAGGAATAGTGAAAAGCAGCATACTGCAAAAATCTTATACATGTCACCCCAGAAGTACTGAAAACTTAATTACTCAGGAGAAAACATGGGCAGCAAGTTCTCAATAAACCCAAAATCTTTTCCTTTCTATGCCAATAGCACATTCCAAAAAGAAAACGATACAAGTTTAAAAGGTAACAAGTCTCCCCAGACTTAAAAACATAAAGACAAAAGTACTGTCAAAAGTTTTCATAGCTGGAACCACTGGATTCCAGCTTTCATGGCTGGAATCATTTCAGAGGATCTGAAGATGCCAGCCACAGATGCAGATGAAATGTCACGAGAAAATGCTGCGATAACATGGCCATACAGCCCGGAAACCACACAAGTAAGTGTTTTTACCATATATCAAGGCAACCACTGACCACACAGGGAAGGTAATGAAGAAACACAACCTACAAACAATCTACAGACCCACTAAGAAAATCCAACAAATATGTTCAGCAAAGGACAAGAGGGCTTCTCTCACCTCTGCAGGAGTCTACTGTATGCCATGCAGCTGTGGACAAGTCTACATAGAGACCATCAAATGCAGCATTGCCCAAACATGAAATAAGGAACATGAAAGGCACTAAAGACTAATTCAGCTAGAGAAGTCAGCCATAGCAGAGCACCTGATGAACCAACCTGGACACAGCATATTATTTGAGAATACATACATGCTGGACCACTCATCTAACAACTACCATGTCAAACTACACAGAAAGGCCACTGAAATCCACAAGCATGTGGACAATTTCAACAGAAAGGAGGAAACCATGAAAATGAACCAAATCTGGCTACTAGTATTTAACAAAGTACAGTAAATAAAGAGCAACACTAAAAAAACAGGGGAATTCCAGACAAGAAATAATCACTACCAGCTAACACCCCCCAACAAAGAACCCCTAGGCAGCAACCAGCCAGGCTTTGAAGCTACAAGGCAGAAGGCCACTACAGACCAAAAATAATAGTTATATACTCACAAAATAAAATAGTATGTTTTGTGAGTATATAACTGTATTATTTTTTGGTCTATAGTGGCCTTCCGCCTTTGTATTTTGGGGAATCCTTGCTCTCTAGTGTTTGAAGCTACAAGGTCATTAAATGCTAATCAAGGTGGCCAATTGCAACATTCACACTTGCCTCAAGCAGACAAGAGTTCTTTCTCCAACCCTGGACATTGTTCTACAGGTATATAAACTCCACTTGCCTAGTTTCCAACTGATTTCACAACCTCTGGGGATGCCTGCCATAGATGTGGGCGAAACGTCATGAAAGAATGCATTGGAACATGGCCATGCAGCCCAGAAAACTCACAGCAAGCCAACCACACAATACTCCAATAATTACAAAAGCTAATGTACCTGTTGGCTAGTAAGACATGCCTCTACCATCAGTCTACACTACTTCTATGGTGGCTGGAGATGCAGACATCTCCTGCAGAGAAATTAAGCAGGCTTAGGAGGAGTCCTCTGCTACCCAGCTATTCTTCTATGCTGCAAAGTGTTTTTTCAGGCTTTTTAACATTATAACAACAGAAAATCGTATTCATCAAACTCTAGCCTGTCTTATCAGAAAACAAAAGGTAAAAAAAACTTTCCAAGCAAGAAATTTTGATAACTTCTCAAGGAATCTTTATGCAACCAGTAAGCTCGGTTTCAACCATTGGTGTTGCATAGTATGCCTATGTCAAAGTCAGAGGCCTGTGAGGGTTCTAGAGAGCACAATGCGAACTATTATCTTGTAGCGTCCTCCATATCTTAATCTCTCAGTATTTATATCACATAATCCAGATTACAATAAACCACAAACTGTAAGCAGAAGCAAGCTAAATATGCTTG